ATCTTAAGCATGTTTTCTCATATAGCCATTAATTTCAGAAAGAATTGAAATTACTGAAAACTATCAAAATGCATTTAATAGGATCACAATCCTATTGACTGTCTAAATTCTTTTGACTTCAGTACAATACAGACTTTTTTTAGCGTGTCTCACTCTTTGACTTGGATTACTAGCTTGTAGTCTAGAAACCATTCTATACAAAACTATATAGTTGACTTTTCCTTATAAAGTTTTCATTGCTCTTTCAAGGTGAATTGTAGATTACAACCTTATAAATATTTAGATTTTTTAAAAAGTATCTGTTATGAGCTTTATTAATTTTTTAAATATACATTTAACAGTGAATTCATTGCAGAAGAAAGCAGTGAGAAATTCTGGCAGTTTTTGGAAACAGTGAAAGAACTAACAATATATAAAAAAGGAGGTAAGCAACTATATATTGTCAAATCTTTTTGTGAATAGCTATATAATCTAAAGCTCTATTTCAGTATAGAGTTTGTTACCAATGAATCAAGTTTCCTGAGATAGTTAAAAACATTTTTGACAGAAAACCAAAAAGAAGATCTCTCTCCTAACATCTGTTGTATGAGATGAGGTGCCTTGCCCTGGACACAGAGAAAGCTAGCCCTATTTTCAGATCTTTATTGAATATCTGGCAATATGTACAAATATTTCTTATGTTCTCACTGCCATTGTTTTATCCTGCATCATATGTTTAATTTTCAAAAATTTTCTTTTACAAAATTTTATTTCAACATATGTTAGAAATAGATGTTCTAACTTGAGGAGGGGAGAGAAAATATTATAGAAAGAGATAAATATATATTTAATTAATTAAATTAAAAATCTTTACAATATAAAGATTTTAATTAAAGTAATAAAAACTAATACAAACTAAACTCAGAGAATGGAAAGTAAAAAGAGAGTAAAAAGTGCAAAGAAAGTAAAAGTAAAAAAAGAAATAAAAATATATAAAGAAGTAACTTCCAGTCTTCATCACAAGTATAAACAAGTTTGGTAGCTCTTCACCCCCAATAAGGTTACAAACAGATATTTCTTCTTCCCATAAGCCATCCCTTATCTATAAGAAAATCCATAAGACATCAACTTTCAATCCTGAGATCAGCAAAAAGTCCATTAAGGGTTGCCAGAATTTCATAAAAACGTCTTATTTTAACCATGATCAAATAAACCAGCATTATATTCTTTCCTTTTACCTCTGAAAATCTTAATCTTTAGTTCTTTCAGATATTGTCATAGGATTTGAACTCTCTTCAATTCTTCTTTGTCTCATCACATAGGCTTCTTCGAGGCTTTAACAAGCCTCTTTGTAAATCCAATAAAAAGACATC